CCCCCCCCCCCCCCCCCCCCCCCCCCCCCCACACACACACACACACACGTACCACAGTGGCCCCAGGTCTCACCAAATTTCAAAGTGCTCCATCCCCTGTCCTGAAAAAACAGACCCCACCTCCAGCTCCACCAGCCAGTGTCATAATGGACATGCGTGAAAATAAAGTTTTCCTCTCCATTCCTCTTTAGGGCAAAGTGTCCTTTGGACCTCCAAACAGTGACTACTGCATACCCCTCACCCGTCAGGCTTGCAGCTCAGAGCATTATCTCGCTCCAGTCAGCTTCCCTATTGGTGCTGTCTGGTTTTATATCACGGACTGTTACGCTCATGCGGAACCATATGTGAGACTGAAAATTTCAGAGCACTCCTGACCATCCTGAATGTCGAGTCAGATCATCACTTGTCACAGGTATAAAACCCTGGGATCTAAGTTGTTGGGCAAGCTGGGGGCACCGCGTTCAACTTGGAAGTTAAATCATATGCACGTCCGCCTAGTCGCCACCACATCACCCACATGTCGTGTTTGAACGCGAAAGCTGCAGCACCTAACGCCAGTCCTGACCGGTATAGCTGTATAAGTCGAAGGCTGCGACCTTTTCGGTGGGAAAAGCAACGAAAGACCGCTCCCCTGCCCAAGAGGGACACGCTACATAGAAACGCATCAGCGAGAAGACGGGAATCGCGCCTCATGCAGCCTTACAGCCTCCTTAACTTCTATCTATCTATCCATCTATCTATCTCAACGACGTGCGCCGCTTATTTTTTTTTTTTTTACCGCAATAGCACAAGTTAAGCGAATCGAAACAATTAACATTTTCACATTATTTGCATCACAAAAGGCATGTTTCCTAAAGGTGATGATGATATCCGTGACCAACCTGTGTGTACGTGCTACACGTTTCAATGTCTCCGTGAGGGACCCTGAGACGCGCGAATAATTTCAGGTGCCTGCTGTAGATGGTCCTTCACTGAAACTAATTGCATAGTAAAGTGTATGCTAATGTTCGGTGGCGTGAAAAAAAGAGAAATGGGGGCCTTAATAAAACGAGATTTTTAACATAAAAAAAGAAAAGAAAAGAAACAAACAGCGCCCATTTTGTAGGCAACCCCCCTCCGCCCCCTTTATCCAGACTGGCTTCAGATGAAAAGGGTTATGCTGTGAAACGGAAGCACAACAGACAGCTACTGACACACACACACACACACACACACACACACACTTAATGCACAGGTAATACACCCCCGTCTCCCCGGTCACCCCATGCATGCATAGTGGAAAAAAGCACCACCATCCTGACTGTGCTTACCTAGTTGCCCCCCAGTGATGGTGAGCACAATCTGATCCATGAGCAGCGAGCGGAACTCAACATCATCCTCAGCGCAGCGCTGTCTCAGAGCCCGCAGGATCTGAACCTGCGGGTATTCCTGGCTGATGCGCCGGTCTGTTACGAACCACACCCGGGAGCACATGGCCTGGGATGCCAGGTTCTGCCGCAGTCGGGGTTTTGCGAGGGAGAGGGGTCCAGGGTCGAGGGACAGGGGGACGAACAAGAATAGCACGATGCGGTCAGAGTCGGCCGGTCGGAGGTCTGCTGAGGTTAAAACGGTTGGGTTCTCGGTCCGCTGGAGCCCGACACGGTCCTGCGACCTGTCCGACCAGGAGATTTTAACAGAGATTCCTGCACACGCTTGAAGTTTGCATCCGCGTTATTCCCGGTTCGTCGGTTCAGGGTCCTGATAAAGTGCAGCGAATTTGCGACTATCTAAGCCAAAGAAGGTCAAAGGGACTAACAAGCCCTTCTGTCTGTGGTGTCCGGTGGGTTTTTGTTCTTCTTGCTGGGTCTGTCCCGTTCGTGCTGCGCTTCTCCACGACCACGGCTGCTTTGTGACTCCCTACCTACCGGATGGAGCAATCAATTTCCAGCCCTGATGCGGTGAGAACAAAGCTGGACACAATCTGCCTCGAACCCCCAGTCGAACGTAATAACTTACTGTCTAACTGGAAACAAAGTAGCCGCCTGGAGAAAAAGAAAGACAGAAAAAGATAAAGAAAAACTAGAAAATGGAGGCTATGGTGACCGACATGGACGCGCTTCTAAACCTGTCCGACCGTCTTGCGGTAAATGTACCGCCCCCCGGCTTTCCACGGTTATCGGTGCTGAAATAATAAATAAATGATGTAGCTACGTTGAGTTCATCCTTGCCCCCATCCCCTCGCCTGGGTTGCCAGATATGTTTATAAATCTCCCCAGTGGTGGATTTAAACCATGTAGCCTAATTTAAAACAGGTTTTCACCACTTGTTTAAGTTAATTAGGCCTTCAATTCGGGTTTATCTCACCGTTATATAGGCCATATCAAATAATTGGCTATACTTTTTTTCTGCGTAGTTTACATGAATAAATTAATCGGTTTAATTTGGTTCAACACGAAATGACGGAAATTCTACTCGTAGCCTAAAGAATTCTAGCCATGCCACGTGTAATGAAGAGGTCCACAGTAAAATAGACCCCGTGGTCTTTTAAATTACCTTTCTATGTCTAGTGTCTTTGGCATCACTATAGTGCAAATTACCGGCGCAAGGGAACAATTTCTATTCAGAAAATGGCTTTCTTTACAGCTGCCCCTTCCCTATTTTAAGTTATGTACTTTATACATTTTTGTAAAATTTAAAAGAGAGCAGGATGCCCGTATACTCCCACAGACTCACCTCACCGCACAACCATCAGCGTCAAATGAGTTCGCATTCATCGGGTTTCCCATATCTGGCAACCTTTCTCTCTCTCTACCCCATCCGCCCCCCTTCGGAACTCTCCCTTTCCGCGTCCTCCAACAGAAGCAGCCAATGGACTCCCCCCGGTGTAGCCTGTGCACCAACCAATCGTGGTCCACACACAAGTGCTTGCATGAATGTCGGTCGCTCCCCCCTTCCCCAGCTCCGCTACCATTCCTCTCTTTTTTTTAAAAAAGGGACTTGAATCTTACATGACATTGATTGGGTATTTATTTGCATTTGCGATGCAGCACATAATCTATCCTGTTAATGTCATTGAGGAAAGTTTTGTTTTCCAGATCTGGGATAAATAAACATTATTTGTTCATGTCACAACTTCTTCAGGTTTGACAACAATAAGACGGGAAGTCTATGGGTAGCGGACAAAAAGATGATCATGAAACGGTTTTTGCATGCATCCTAATTTCATGACGCAACATACGGAGCGTTTTAGCCGACAGTTAAATATAGTTAGACTGGGTGTGATGTTTATACGTGGCAAATTCATTTCTGTTTAGAGTATCGTTGTCCGTTCAACGATATTCCAAAGATGGATACACGTGGGTTTCTTCTAAAAGCATCCAAAACGTCCCACAAATTATTTGGTTATGTAGGGAGATACGCGTGTATATGAACTATAGTCACCACCCAAAATACAAGCAACCATGTCCTGTATATTTTTTTGAATTAATAATAAACGTCCTTGACGTTTCTGAGCAAAGCCAGGACGACCATCATTGAAGACCTCGAAATTTCATGTGATAAATTATTACAAAACGGTAATCGTATAGCAGATTAACTGGAGCCTACATTTTTCATACTTCGCATTCACTATATATATATATATATATATATATATATATATATATATATATATATATATATATATATATAAAGCAGTAGCCTTAATGGTATGATTCATTCCACACAACAAATGCTAGCCATCGCAAAGGAGATGCGCAGAGGTCCGCGGGAATCTGACAGACCAACCAGAATTATAAATGTGTAGGCGGTCTCCCAGTGAATTCAGCCAATAGGAGAAGAAGGGTGTGTGGTGGGCGTAGCCTATGACCGCTATCTTCTCCTCAACGCCTCGTGAGAGAAAGAAAGTCTGGGACTGAAAGCTGGGGGGGTGGTGTCCGCCTCAATCTTGCGACTCGCCCGAACCGGTTCAGACTGGGTACGGGGAGGTCTGTTGAATACTGACGCCGCAGCGAATGATTAAATGTTGGGGAAGAAAATAACTACCCTTGCACCAGCACATTGGTTTGTGACCGAGATGGGGGACGCTGCTGGTACCGACGGACGGGGGGAAAAAAGCAGAAGAACCAAGCAGCTGTTGACATCATTTGAAGTGTCCGCAATAGACAAAGGAAACCTTTCTCTCTGATCCAATAGTACAGTTATACTTAGTAGTATTGTGTTCCATATAACGGGATGTCTGTCTATCTATCGTTTACGTGAGACTCCTGAAGGTTGTCGGGGGTAACTCATCGTAAATAATATTACCCACCAGTCCATTGCCTTGCGGTATTAAGTTTCGGTGTCCGATAGATGGTGGACATATTATTGGAAGAAAACACTGTAGTGCCACGTAACACCAACCCCGATTCTACCTTACGATTTTGCAAGAATGTGCAACAATAAACGTGATTTGGAGCAAGTCATTCTTAACGTCGCAAAGTTCCGTGCAAAACTAATCACTGTCAATAAATGAGAAATTGTGTGTAAACTGTTAACGTGTCAAACTGGTGTGTCTTTAATCTGTCAGGCTACACGATCTGTTGTCGTTTTAATTAAAGTAAGGAGTTTTTGGAAAGAAAATATAACCTACTCTTTTATATACAATTTCCTAAACTGAAGTAGCCTACTGTATATTAATTGCCAATGACTGTTCAATATGTAATTATGGATAAATTATATGCAGAGCATAACTTGGAATTTGCTGTTTTGTGGCAGATTTGTCATGCGCAGTCCTTGCGACGATGCTGTGGTTTTAAGCAAACTATTTCTGTATTCTCTTGAAATAATTTATGACACACTGCAGTTCATGCGAACATTTTAGGCAGAGAAGTGGTATAATAAAAAGGAAATATTTTCTTAGATAAATTGAAAAGTGAGTTTAAATGGTAAAAACGGCTAATTCTTTGAACAATCTAGAGAAAAGGTGCTGAACCGCCACATATACTAAATTTAAGTCAGTATCTCCATCATCGGCTTTAGATCGCTAAAATAGCCCCACCATGTGGCCAATATGTGCTACACATGAGGAGAGGATGTGGTTCAGTGGAAAGTAAATGCGACCGGCTTTAATTAGGAAGTATCAGTAACTGTTTTGGTATTAAAGGTTTTAGTAACTGTTTTGTTTTCAGAACATTGTCAAGTAAGTCTGTCATTGATAAATCTTGCTGGCGGCAATATACTTGACCTTTAAATTAGACGTAACATATACTGATAAAGTGTGACATCACTTACTCTAAAAATAGAAATGAGTTATAGGTGTGCAACAAAAGCAATGCAAGACCTCCACTTTTCCGCGAAAGCTTTCCACTAATGACTGAAGCTGTTTATATTATATTTTGCAAAAAAGATATGACACGAGGATTTTTCAACTACGGATTGTGAAAAAGTGTAAACGATTTTACAAAGAGAATCATGTACATTGCCATTTAATGATAAATTGCATGCTTAAGTGATCAAATTTACGTCATACTGTTATTGCATATTTTATTATTCCATGCCATGATGTATCTCCTATTCAAAAATGTATTCAGTTTTATGTGAAGAAATATATACTGTCGTTTAGTTCTCTTCACTCAATTGCGAAGCTCAGAGCAGGCAGTAAACATTACATTACTTTGCTCAGTGTAATTATTCATTCAATGCAGTTCTTCTGAATGCAGTATAAACTGAAACGCAAAGTGGAGGGAAACTGTTCTTGGCTGGGCTTGGTGCTCCTGGAAATAACAGGGACAAGGGATACCACTGATTTTCATTCCAATCCAATATAATCAAATACCAAGGTTGGTATCGCCAATACTGACCCCGATATCCTACTATTTTTGTGGTAATTACAATGGGAAATCACAGCGCAATGCTTGAAAAATTTGCAAAAAAAAAAGCGATATTTATAAAACATTTAAAGGAAATTTACCCAAAAAAGTATAGTCAAACAGAACGTATTACATACCAATACATCATCAAAGATGTTGGTGGCATTGCCCCGAGTTGTGTCATCAGCAGTGTTTGGCAGGGCTCCATAAACCACAAATTAACTAAGCTAACTTTGGGGCCCCCGGCTCCTCCATGCTCTTCGGGGGCTGCGGACATCCTGGGCCTCCTGGTTCTCCTGGTTCTGTCTCCGCCGACCTCTGGCTCTTGTGGGGTGTGGCTGTGGCCTCCCACCCTCGCTATTTAGTACGTTCCATGTTGAGAAAAAACACACACACCACACACACACACACACACACACACACACAAGTCCGCACATCTCGCCTACACAACTCAGCACCCGTGTACATACACTTGCACGCACCCCTCCAAGCACACACAACAATTTTGTATGTTTGTATAGCCGTGTTACTTTATTCATTCTTTGTTTTTGTTTGTGTTCATGAATTTATCCATTTCTGCACTTCTTTCAGATGTTGTTGATCTTTTGCCTTTTTTTTCTTCCCTCTCCTTTACAGATGCAGCAATTGTAGATTGTGTTCTCTACTTTACTCATATTGTTTTTTTTTGTTCTTTTTTTGTTCTTTTCTTTTATTTCTTTTTCTTCCCCCTCCTAATCTGTCCATCCTCTTCAGCCAGCTCAGCCACTGCAATATTTTACATGTGCTAAAAATGAAATAAATAAATTAAATTAAAAGAAATCGATCAACATGAGGGGCCTATACAGAGTTTATAGAGCCCCTCATGGTAAAGCAAACGTGTTTGGCACAGCAGTGCATTCAGACCATGATTCTGCTTGCTAAAGCTGCCTGACAGGACAAAAGGAAGAAAAATAAATAAATCAGTTAACTTTTTCTGTAGCGATTAGCATTACCGCTAACTTTGAGAACTGTAGCAGACTAATTAGCTCATGCTAAATTTAGTTCAGCTAACTGTTAATCTGTTAACATTTTTTCACAGGTAAACTGAGTAAAGTTTAATGGTCAAAAACATTTGTAAACTCTAAAGTCAGACATCTTTGTTCCGGTCTGGCATGCTGTTGGCTGACTGTGTAAACGCAAAACATGATTGGTCGATAACTTGTCGATTTAAGGTAATCTTGGCTAAAGTAAGTGAACCAAGGATGGGACTGAAGTGTTACAGTAATACATTGTAATCACTGTAGTGTACTGAGGTAGTACAGGTAGTAGAACATTTTTATGCAGTGTCTCAAATAAGTATTGAGGAAAAAATAAATAGACTATAAGAACTATGAATCACATT